CATGGGTACATCACCTAGTTGCCAATTAATTCATAGAAGAATGAACACACTTATTTTATAGCATATATATTCTTAATTGTTTTCACATAAAGAACATAACTTATTAAAATTAGATATATACACACACACACACACACACACTTTGAATCGCAGTTTTGTAATTAGAAACCGCAAATCGGACCATGCAAGTTCTCAACCACATTATATGGTGCGATGTGTGCGATTTGTACCGTTTGAGTGATTTTATGAACACCCTATACTTAATACGTGGAGTCATGCACAGTTTACAGTAATAACTTTTTTTTTGTCATTTCATTTCAATGGTAAAAGAATAATAACTTTATTGCATTTTTTTAATTTAACTAAAATGACATTTTATTACATTAATAAAAAAAAATGTAATTCATTTTTAATCAAACAAAGTATATAAATCAAAAATAAAAATTATCAATTCGAATTAATAATTGAAAAAAAAACAAATTTTAATGGGCCAGAGTTTGAAAAAAAAAAAAAACTAAAGTTAAAAATATATCAGCGGCCCCGTTGTACAAGAACATTACATTTATAAGATAAACCCAGCGGGCCAAGGGCACACTCAAAACTCAAATCAATCCCCAAATTTTCACCTAAATTCAGAAGTAAAGATCGTCGGCTTTCACCGGCACTGTAATCCGATTCCGGCAGGAGGTGGATATTTAGGGTTTTATCGCCGGACAAAAAGATGTCCAGTTCCGGTAGGCCGTCGGCGGCCTTTGCGAGTGGAGATTTACAGATTGTATCGGCGCCTTCAAGCAGAACAGCGATCTCCGCTCTTCCTCCTCGCCATCCGACTAATTCTTCATCAGCTCTTGTTGAATACACGCCTCCCGTAATTAATCAGGAAGAAGAGGACCTCGAGGTGAAGCTGCGTCGCATATTAGATCACGTCCCTGTTCGTGTTAACAATACCTCCGGTAGTTCCGCTGGTTCTGGCTCCGGCGACTTCCATCAGGTTATTCATCACCTTCTTTTAATACCTCAATTGAAGTTGAAATCGAAATTCGCCTCTGCAGTATTCCCATAGTTGCATATTTTGTCTTGCATACTTAATGATCGATGCTAGATTCTATGCATTAGTTGTAGTTTGGGTTAATTGGTGTTGTATTCATGCTCAACTAGTTGGAGTCGTATTTCTCTAATGAACTTTCACAAGTTATCTTTGGTTAAATGCAAGAAGAAATAACAACATTTTATCATTGATTTGTTTGCTATAACAATTTACTTCCATTTCTTCCTCTTACAATGCGATTTTTACTCCTATAATCAAGTACACTGTTCAAAATATGCTTTAATGGTGTAATTGAAAGAAATGAAAGTTGGTTTCTATTTCATGCATTTGAGAAGCTTTTGTTTTGGGAAAACAGTATCGACAGATGAGAAGGAAAGAACAAGATAGGCTTGCAAGGATGGATGTTGATTTCCATAAAAGGAAACAGGTGGCAGAGTTTAATAAGAGGAGAGATGAAAGATTAAAAGCAACAGAAGAGAGAACTGCAAAGAAGCGTTTGAAAAGACAAAAGAAGAAGCAGAAGAAACAAGAAAAGAAAATCAAGTTGGAAGGAGGTGATCATCGTGAAGAAGAACATCATAAGGAAGATGATAATGATAAATCTTCAGATGAAGAAGATGATCAAAACGAATGAACAGAAAGAATTACATCGTTTACATGTACTTGAATCCAAGTAGGATGTTGTTTTGTTGTTAACCACAAGTAAAATCATATGTATTTCCATTATAAGTAATGTTTTAGATTATTAGATTTTATGTCGAATTTTGTATGTTGATATGTTTTCTCCTAGAAAAAAATATTCGTATTTGGCAAACTACCAGCTAAAATTTAAAATTATTTCTTAGCAAAAGCTTTAGGGCTTGTTTGTAACAAAGCTTTTGAGAGCTTTTAGCTTTTGGTTTTGAACTAATTTTACACCTTCAAAAGTTAATATCTATTTTTGGCAAACACTTTAGCCCAGATAAAAGCTATAGCTTCTACTAACTAAACACATCTTTAGAGCATTAGTTTAGTTGTTTCGGTTACTCAACAATGAAATTAATTGGATTTAAAAGCACCTTTATATGCCTTTTGAAAATAATCCCTCACTTTACATACAAAATTTGACATGTTTGGAGCTCGTAGGTGCCTATGACAATATGACTATGATGATATGATATCAAATGTGTTTAATAAGCATCGGACAGATTGAGAATAATTACTTTATTTTCTTATTCTTTTAATAAATTTAATATGTTAAATCACTAAATTCGGACAATTATACATGGTTGTTTGTTTTTTGACTTAATTTCGACATAATGAGTCAAGCCTAAAAAACATACTTAATATATTAAGACAATAACCTTTTTACTCGTTTGTCGTTTTTTCCCTTCAAACTTCTCATTAAAATTGATGAATATGATTAATATTAATAAACCTTGTAATTTTTTGTTGTTGAAATGCAGGGATAAATGAGAATTTATTTTCATTAAGATGATTTATCCCGTTTAGAAACGAAACAAACCTTATACACACAACATTTATCCATACAAATTAATGTTAGATTTGGAAGGAAAATAAGGTTTCTGAAATCGATAAGGAACTTAGATCTTCTTGAAGGATCGTGTGAACACTTTCTACATCTGATATTTCGACCCTATCTCTATCTCTGGGTTACATGAAATCCAAAATCCAAATGCTGGAGATAATATTTCAAAGAACAATCTCTGATATGAGACCATGCCTTATGGTTTTATAAAGTTAATGTTCTTCTGATTACCAAAAATAAACATCAAACAACATTAAATGTTGATTTTATTGCTTAAATAAAAGATGACGGTTTTAAGGATAATTATGGAGAATATTACTCTGAAAATAATATTTTCCATAACAAAATAAATTTCAAGCAGCGGCGTTGCCCCGCAACCCGCACTCTGATCAATGGGATGTTAGAGACGTTGCCCCTTAGACTCTGCTAGGGCAGCGCCCTAGAACCCTACAAGGGGTGCAGATCCCTTGATCCCACCATTTAGTCGAAACAATATCAAACTCGTTTTATACAAGTATACATTCCGTACCTTCTAACTTGTAATAAACTCAACAATTAAACCCCATGAATACGCTGTAAATTTCATTATATTAAAATGATCCAGTAACACCAAAATCACCGGTTATTCATGATAGAAAAAATATATAAGATGGTTGTTATACGTACAAAGCATACATAATGCCTAGTGTATCTGTATGTCATTTAGCCATAACATAGGGGCTTATCTGCAAATAACTTATTAAAAGAAACCGTATGTTTGATTCTTGAAGTTGAATAGATAGGCATTGAGAGGTGAAAACGATCTGCTCCACTGAATTCTTCTCCCTTTCTTTCTCACACAGACCACCAACAATGGCGGTAGCTCAAGTTTCTTCCTCACTCTGCATCTCCACCGCCGGTAATCTCTCTCTCTCTCTCTCTCTCTCTCTCTTATAATTTCCGCGGCTAGAGAGGAGATTGTGGATTAATGTACGTTTTTTCCTCAAATCGTACTCCAATTTGGTGTAAATCGACATAACGTGCTCGCGCAATCACTCACAATAGTGTTTTCTCTTAATCTTCATGAAAGTTAGAAACTCGAGTTTAATTGTTAATGTAGGTGTTTTACAGAGTAAACGATTATCGGATTCTGAATTAGGTACAGTAAATTTACAAGTTTCATCTGTTTTTTCTGTTAATTCCAGCTAGAATTTCCAGCGTTCCACAGTTCACATCATCCAGTTTGCCTCGAATCGGAACAACCTTCACTTCCGGTTCACCTCTCAGTAAGTTTGCGATTGCTATTACTGGTAATAGGAGCTAGGTCAGCTTCTAAATTTGGAGAATACAATCAATTTTAAAGATGAAATTCAATTCATTTGATCTCACTACTTAAACTGTAACTCCGATTCACAATTTGAATCATTGTTATTTCAATGATTATAGCTACAAACTACACAATTTGTCAACCCATTTGATAGAATTTGAGAGCTAATAATTACTTTAACATTTCAGTAATATGTAGAACTCATCATCAGAAGGCCATAGTACCTAAAGCAACATCATCATTTTCTGTGAAATGTGAGCAAAGTAGCAAAGATGGAAATGGTTTAGATGTGTGGCTTGGACGCACAGCAATGGTGGGATTTGCAGTGGCAATTACTGTTGAAATTTCAACAGGAAAAGGGCTTCTTGAGGTACACATTTTTTTTTTAATCTTTGTATATATTGCCCAAAAAATATTTGAAATTTCTTTATTAAAATCCTTAACTTTTGCAGAATTTTGGGCTCTCATCACCTTTGCCAACAGTTGCCTTAGCAGTGACTGCACTTGTGGGAGTTCTTACAGCAATTTTCATCTTCCAATCTGCCTCTGATAATTAATACATAACTATAAAAAAAAATTGTGTATTTATTCTTTCTTTACATTCTCTTTATTTTCTGTAACTTTATATTATAACTTTTTGATGTGGGTCAACAACAATGTAGGGTTTATATTGTTCTTTGAATGAAAATTGCTAAACAAATTCTACATTCAATAAATGTGGATGCCAGACACACAGAATATATACCTTTGAGTTTAAACAATATCTACATTTAAAAAATTCTACTTTTTATAAGATTTATTATAATTACAGATGTGAAAATTCCAGTTATGTAAAGAATCTCAAGTAGAAACTCAAGAAAGCAACATATGTTTGTGTATTCTTGGTAAGATTCTTTTTCTCTTGTGACCTTACTTTAAGCATAATATCTTTTTTTGTCATGCTTTTTTTTTTCATTCATGATTGAATATATTTTCACATGGGTGGCATAGCGCGTATTCATTCATCTTTTTTTATAAATTTCAACATTTTGAAGATTATGTGTATTCAATATTCTAAAATGGGTTCAAGATTTTCTAGAGTGAAGCAAGTTTTGGTAAAACGCAACATAAAGATTTTAATGTTGGGTCTTGATGATTCTGGGAAGACAACCATCTTGTATAAACTAAAGCTTGGGGATTTTGTTGCAACTGTACCCACAATTGGTATTTATTTTTAATTTTCATCTTTTAAAAAAAAATATATATGTGACCTTAGTTTGTGTATAAGATGATAATATTACTTGGATGTATGTTTATGAAGGGTTTAATGTGGAAAGTGTGGAGTACAAGAACATAAGATTCAACGTGTGGGATTTAGGAGGGCAAGATATGGTATCAAAATCTAACCTAAGTTTTCTTTCTCATATGTACTATAATTATATATATTATATTATTAGACGATTATAACCAAAGTAAATTATTTGTATGTAATTAATACGAATTAATATCATGTTATTAAGTAAAATTACATGCTACACATTTGAATAAATATTACACATGCGTTTATAAAAATATTACGCGTAGAATATCATAATACAAATAATAAACTAAGAATGTATAAAATTTAAAGTTTGACCAAATTGTACAAAAGAAACTTAAACACCATTGTGGTGTTAAACTTTCATCATTTTGGTGTAAATAGTATAATGGAGTATCAAATTTTGTATTTATTTATTTATTTTGACAGATTCGGCCTTTGTGGAGACATTATTACCGAAATACCCGCGTGCTTATCTTCGTAGTGGACAGTAATAACAAACGAAGAATTTATCAAGCCCGAAACGAGTTGCATCGCCTTATAAATGAGGTTTATAATAATTTTACCTTTTTTAGAGTAAATTATATGTTTGGTCCCTAAGTCTATCTAATTTTTGAAATTTTGGTCCCTAGCGGTTCTCTTAATGTTTTTGTTTTTCTTCCAAAACGTTTTGGGACCAAAAATGAAAAAAACAACTAATTCAGGAACCAAAAATGTAATTCACTACTTTTTAGTTTATGTTTCATTTCTCTCTTAATTATCTATTCCCCCTCTTTTTATAGGATGAATTGAGTGATGCAACAATACTTATTTTTGCCAATAAGCAAGACTTGCCTGGTGCTATGCATGTGTCCGAGGTCGCAGATAAACTCAAATTGCATACTATTTCTCAACGCCGTTGGTAAATATTAATTTCCTTTGAAAAAAATTCAATTTTTGAGATATTATTCACATGTAAGTGTCAGTCTAATACAGGTCAAACACAGTAGTACTGACATATTTATTTAATATCAGGCACATACAAAGTACTTGTGCGAAAACAGGGCAAGGACTGAACGAAGGCCTAATCTGGCTAACCAACAATATTCCCGATAAAGTGGCACAAACAAACTCGTGCATTTCTATTCCGGCCCGTAGAATCTGTGAGGCAAAATGTTAAACAAAAAAGTTATTATTATAAGCTTACAAAGTTCGAGAAATATTTGTAAAATTTTAATTTTTAGTAAATTACGAGTTTAACATTATTCAAAGAAACAAGAGTTCATAAATTAAAATAAAAAGTTTCCATTTTGAAGTCGATTTATGACTAGATATATGTTTATCGAAGCTAGCCATGTTAAAAGCTTTATACTAACAAAGATATTCTTGCCTAAATGAGTTTCCAAATGAAATTAAAGGTTTTGATAATCTCGATGTGCTTGATAGTTATGAGAGAGGACTACGAAACATATCACCTCAAGATGAGAGATTGAGGAGTTTAATGGTATTGTTCAGTGGTTCAACCAATGCAACTGCTGAAACAACTAATAATTGAAGTTGAGAAAAATTTCTCTCATTCAACTTTGTTTTCATGACAAGATGATATATCTCATTAAAGTTGTTGGCGATGATTGTAAAAGTACACTCTCGTTTTCTAAGTCACATTTGGAAAATAAATATATATGCATTTAAGAATTGACAAATATTGTCAAGACTAAAGTCTCACGTTGAATGATACCAACAAACGCCTTCAAATCCTCAAACTCTTGACTTGAGGTGGTATGTGTGATGTTACATAGTTTGTCTCCACGAATGTTAAGCATTAATTTCAAGACGATGAAGATATAGGTAGTGATGTAAAGTTGTTTTTGCAAAGAAATCCATCTTTGCAATTCATACCACCTTGATTTTTTAAGCACGTGTAGAGCTTCCTAGTGTTTGGCCTACGTGATATATACATCGTTGATCAAGTAATGTATTTAATTTATCGTCAACCAATGATATCCATCTATTTTGTTTCCATCATTCCATCCAAAGGCTTTTCTATGTTTCACGTAATTTCACCAAAATCTTCGTGGTTTTCACTCCTTAACGAGTTATACAAAGCCGTTAGACGAACTACTTTGTGGATCCTAATACAACCTGTCTTTATTCTTATGGAGTAACAAAAACATCTTACAATCCTCCAATACAAAACGTGCAGCAAAACGATTTTTTTTTTGCATGGCATATCATCATTGCCATCTGTATAGAGAAGTTTGGTTGCTCTCGGGTCGTCTAACAAGAAATGTTTTTTGTCTCCGAATTCATTTCTCTATAACTAAAATATTTCTTTTGAGTATGTTGAAAATAAAAAGAAAGCAAAAATGATGCTAATAATAATAAGAAGGATAAAATAACATAGAGATTGACATGAACTAATCAATCAACATGAAAAAAAAAACATAATCATAACACGAAAAACATTAACAAATTCCAGTTTCATTGATAAAAATGTTTTTGAATACAAATATGAAGAGATTTAAGTAAACAATGGAAAAATTCTACTTCAAAAGGTGGTAAGGAGAAGGTTGCTGGGATTTTGGTGAAAAATGCAAGTTTTAGTGGTTTAGATATTTTAGGAAAGGTGATGGTGATAGGTGATGAAATCAATAGAGTATTATCCATTCCATTAAGAATGGCGTAAAAAGGATGACCAATTCTTGAACAATTCGTTTGTTTGGAAGGATTGTGTGAGGGGAAGGTGTAAGGTAAAAGGTGTAAGATCGCATGCGGCATAATAGAAATATCAAGGGTTGAGAATAAATACTCTTTTCATGCTAAAATGAGAAATATTGCTCCAAAAAAGTGTTTCTCATCAAGTCTAGAAGAAATATTTGTTGTTATCAAAATCACCATAGTAAGCAACACCACTTACTGGGTAGCAGACAAGAACTCATTCAATCAAATCTCCAAGTCCTTTGATGTAGAAGTTTGGCTTGAGATCATTTCCATCTTTCCTTCGAAGATAAGTTTGACCAAGATCAAAGTCGATTGTATTGTATGTCCTGAGAGTTTCAACTAACAAATAGTGAATCCTATTGTATGCAACAATCACTACAAGAAAAAGACCCTTTTATGACGCACAAACCACGACACTCATTGATTTATGTTACGCAAAAGAGAGTGACATTAAAAAAGTGTAATCTCTTCAAAAAATTTAAGGATTTAGGTCACGCATTATTGCGTGCCCTTAAATTAGTGTCTCATGTAAAAAAAACTAAAAACACGGAGGGCACTTTATCTAAAATGTGCGTCCTCTCTCAGTGTCGCTTTATGTTTTTACTCAAAAGGCGCGTTTCTTAAAAGTGGGAAACGAAATTCTCTTAAAATTCTAAATTTTTTAAATGCCCCGCTTCAGATCTCCCTTCGTTCTCTTCTTCCCTTCTCTCTGCAAACCCTAATCACCATACCATCTCTGCTATACACCTCGACAACTCATATAACCATTCTACAATTTTTTTTTCTTAAAAACTCGTGTTCATTCCTAAAGATCACAAAATGGCGACCAGTAACTATACGTATATTGTTAGCGCAATACTTTTGTGTATTTTTTGACGGAAACTGCAAGGTTCAAGGCAGGAACTTCAATCGATTTCCTATGGGTTAGCTTGACACCCTTGATTCGTCCGATTGTACCGCATGAGTAAAGTATCCTTGCCCTATCGGACTGCTATACATCTCCGCTTCAAGATATCCCATCTCAATGAAAGCGATTCAGGCCTCACTCCTCTCTCATAGCGATTTAGGGTTTTTTTGGTACAAGTTATCGACTAAGACACCGACGACTTCTCTCAGGTATATTTATTTTCTCTTATTCAACGACTTCACAATGATGCAACGCTACAAAGGAGCAACATTTGGGGAGCTAGATCGTCATGTTTTTTCAATTGCAGATTCTGATTTTAGGTCATCTCCTCTCCTCACATCTTCTTTTTCTTTTCTATTCTACTTCTACATATATACTTCTTGTACAGAGGATTAACATTCTTCCATTCTTAAATATTTATAAAATCGGTATTATTTGAAGTTCAGTGATTATGGTCTAGTTAGTATTTCATATTTTCTACTTGGCACTTGTATTTGTTTCCTTACTCTTTTTCATGTTAATTTAGACTAATCTCTGCCTATTTCATCTTTGTAGAGTGATTGATGATAAGGTTAGGCTGACAAAATGTGTGAATTATTCTTACGCATGATGTGTATATTTTGTTTGTCTATGAGTATGGCGAAAGAGCTCTGATTATAAGTGCTTCAAGCCCTACTTGATGAGTTCAGCCCGATTTATTTCTCACAAACATACAGAAGCTGATTTTGAAAAGTTCATGTGATTTAGGAAAAAAGAACATTCTCAGTTGTTCAAGAAAGAGCTACACTTTATTTATGTAGGATTGTAAGCTATTGAACTATAAAACTCATATATGTCTCTTAATTACTGACTATGATACATATTGACAATTACAGAGGTATTGACTATGCTGTTGCTAACAATGAAATCTCTGGAAGAGCTCCAGATCTTCCCTATTTGATAAAAGAGGTTACCTTTTTTTTTCTTCCACTATTGTTGATAAGTGATAACTTCTCTTTAAGTGTTCATAATTCAATATGCTTCCAGAAACAAATTCTGATGACACTACTATGTGATTAGGTATGTCAGCGGAAAAATGAATCACAATTGCAAGCAACTATTATGGTGCTAATGATCTCTGTAAAGGTACTAATGTTATACAAATACAATCAAGTGTATAATTTTAACTTTTTGTTATTGCAGTAATCATGTTTCTTTCTTTTTTATTTGTATACTGATAGAGTGCATGTACTAGTGGTTGGTTCAATGAGAAAGAGAAGGAAGAACTTAACCTTCTCTCAGAAGAGGCTTGTGAATTGTTTTAGGCTTGTGAATGTTGAAGATATGAATTCCAATATGAAGAACAAGGAGGCTTGTGAATTGTTTTAGTCAATAGGATAAAGATTTAGCAGGATGGAGTGTTCTTGATGTTGGAACAGGCAATGGGCTACTTCTTCAAGACCTTGCTAAACAGGGGTATAGTATTATACATAATAACACTCATTCCTCCTTTTGGTATGATGATAATTGATAAATCATTTTTGTTACTTTTGATGTTGGTGTAAATAGGTTCTCTGATCTCATTGGAATAGATTATAGTGAAGGAGCAATTAACCTTGCTAGAAGCCTTGCTAATCGTGATGAATTTATTGGTATCAAACTATTGGTTGATGATGTTCTTGAAACAAAATTGGAGAAAACGTTTGAGCTTGTTATGGAATAAGGAACCTTAGATGCTATTGGTCTTCATCAAGATGGACCCATCAAAAGGTATATAAATGAGAGAATCACAAAAGAACTTCAAAAAGGAATAAGAGTTAAATTTTGTTTTGTTTAAATTACAGGATTATGTATTGGAATCTATGTCAAGACTTGTAGCTCCTGGTGGACTATTGGTAAGTTACAATTTGCATTTACTCATATTTAATGTTTTTGATTTTTGATTTTCAGCTCCTGATATACATCGATCCAACAACACAAAGTTCCAGGGATATGCTTGGTATTGACACTCGAGGTTGAAAACTTCAACGTCATGTCAGGGATAAATATAAACTTATGTCGAGTTTGGTCCATTATACCCTTGGTTGACATTCATGGGAGTTTTCTGCATAAAACCCTAAAATGAATAGAAAAACTTGAAAATAATATTTGGTTAACATTTTTGTTTTCTGTGTATGATTAAATCTGTTTCACAAAAACATTTTTACCTTTTCTTATAAAATTAATATCAATAATAAGTTGAATATCGATAAACGGTGTAATCTATTCTATATTTTGTATTTTGTAATAATTTAAGTTAATATAAAATTATTACAGGAAGAGCCAGTGGATAAGACAAAACATTAGGGTGATTTAGAGGAAGAAGAGGAGGAAGAGGAAGAAGAGGAAGTGGAAGAGTAATATGAGGAAGGGGATTTGGAAGATGGCATTCAGTCAGTTGATAGCCTTTCAAGGTCTTATTTTCTATTTCATTTTCAACCACCTTTTTATTATCATTATTATTATAATAATAAAATGTGTTTAAAAAACTGATTCATTTTTTCTTTTTTATTTCTCCTCAGTAGGGGTACTGGTGTTGAAACTTCAGATGTTATTGACCTCCGCAAACAAGAAAGGAAGGAACCCGAGAAACCTCTGTATCAGGTAGCCTTTTCTTTTCATTCTTACAAATATATATATATATATATATATATATATATATATATATATAATACAAATGTTTTTATATATATTTAAATAATATATCTAGTGGTTTTACTTTTATCATTTATGTTGTTTGATTTGGTAAAGGTGCTAGAGGAAAAAGAAGAGAAGATAGCCCCAAGAACTTTGCTTGGAACTATACATACGTATGCAATCTACTTCTTTCCTTTTTTTTACTTCAATAATCAATATAATGCATTTATATGTTCAAAGGTAATTTTTGGAAGAGTTTCAAAAGGCTGCTCAAATTCTTGAGAAGGGTGGATATTCCCTTTTTACCCCTCATTTTTTTAATATATATTTTTAGACATTAATATAATGTTTTTTTGAGAATTGATTGGTTTTGGGAATATAATTAATGGACAACTATGGAATTTTCAGATTGGGAAGGGGTCAAGAGGTGATGTAACCATATTGCCCACACTTGTGGTTAATAATGGACAATACCGAGGTTAGTTTTTACATTTATTGATGGAATGGAATGGAATAGAATGAAGGAATGGAATCAACCATTCCATTCATTACATTACTCAATCTTTGTTCATAGGTAAGTTAGAAAACGGTGTTGTTTTGAAGGCCATTTGCTCTGGTTTTGAAGAAAAAACTGAGCCTGCTGCTTGTCTTAGTGATGGTAAAACCCTAAATCTATAATCTTCATTTTTATTTTATTTTTTTAATAAAGTTATTCAAGAATTCTTATTTACTAAAAAAATATAAAAATTGGAAGGTGTGGAAACAAACGAGTGCTTGGAGAATAATGGTGGTTGCTGGCATGATAAATCCGCCAATGTCACTGCATGCAAGGTACCTTTTTTTTTATATCTCATATCTCAAAATTTTATAAAACTCTGCTTATATTTTTTTATAAATTTTATACAGGATACATTTCGTGGGAGAGTTTGTGAGTGTCCTTTGGTTGATGGAGTACAATTCAAAGGAGATGGGTATACCTCATGTGTAGGTATGATGATGAGATGGGTATTGGCAAAAACTCCCTTTGTCTCCTATACTTTGTCAGATCACACCCTTTAATTGTACATAATTCACTATTGCCTTAAAATTACAGAAGTTGGTTGAAGGATACTTGCTTAGAGCTGCTCAAAGAAACTCGGGTTTTTTAGGGACATCTACAGATTAGTGGTCAGCCACGTGTCAAGGTATTCTTTTATTTATTAAGATGTTATCTAAAGTTCTTAATACTTCACACAAGTTCTTAATATTTGCTAATTTTCTGCTTTCATGTCTTTATGGCATAGAAGTGCAAAATGGAGATGAAAAATGAAAAAGAGCCCGAGTTCATATATCATCATCATGTTTAAAGGTTAAACACTTATTGTCCCCATTAAGTAAAAAGGGTGACAAATCCATTGCGTATCCCGTAACATATATGTTGCTATTGTGACATGCTAAACAGCTTTGAGCAATTTTATTTTCATGGTGAGGATTTGCTCAGTCTTGATTTCTTGTTTTCTGCATAGTTTGTGAATCTATGCTGTTGTAGAATTATAACCTCTGGTTTTTTTAATCTTTGCAGAGTGTAAAAAGCTTGCAGATGTTCACTTTTCCCTCATTTGACCACTCACATTTGGCACAAGTATTTGAAACTAACATTCCTTGTTTGATTCTTCTATTAATTATATCTTTTTAGTTTGTAGAAGGTGTCCCTTGATACACAATGTAGTATTAGGTTATATAGTTAGGGAAAACCTCTTAATAACAATGTATAATTAGATCCCCTTAATATCAATGTATTACAATTTTTTGACATGATGTTATTCGATGAAATTGATTTCTTTGATTTGTTTACATATTTTTGTATTATTTGTAAATGAGTATTGTAAAGACGCGTCGTAAATGCATATCACAAATGGTTACTGAAGTTTATGACACGCAAATGTGTGTCATCTTCATTTATGACAGGGGCTTCCTTGATACGCATTGCATGTCATAAACACGTGCGTCGTAAGGTTACGACACGCAAATGCGTGTCGTCTTCCTTTATGACAGGGCCTTCCTTGATACGCATTGCGTGTCCTAACTGCGCGTCGTAATTGCGTGTCGTAAATGCGTGTCGTAAAAGCGCGTCGTAAATAGACAACACACAAAAGCGTGTCGTCTGTCGTTATGACAGGGCCTTCCTTGACACGTATTTGCGCGTCGTCTGAGCGTTTTACGACACACATTGCGCGTCATAAAAGACTGTTTTTCTAGTAGTGAATGTATATATCTCATTGTTTGAGCATACCTTTTGTTCATTTAGATTCATCTAGTTTTTTGATGATTGGTTCAGGAGGGATTTTGTTTTCATCTAGTTTGGTTTTGTTAATAAAATTATCATCATTCGATCCTTATGTGTTGTGTGAATGTAAGTTGATAGACACCTTCAGAGGAAGGTTGATGTTGGGAAGTGTACAAGTTGTTGATCTTTTTTCATTTTCATATGGAACTTGTGTGAGTGATGGAGGTATAGTAAATGATTCATCAAAATCAGAATTTTTAACAGAGGGATGAACTTTGATTGTTGGATTGAAAAAAAAAACTAAGCCAAGGGTCTTCTTCAACGGTTAGAATAAGGATATAGAGAAGTGATATTTCATCAACCGTGGAAAGAATATTCTCAAATGGATTTGAAGATTGGGTTGATTTCATCTTGAGAAATGGATAAAGACGTAAGTCGGCTAAACCAATTTGGGAAGGGAATATCCATTCAAACGGATCATAAGGGACAATTGTCGTTCAACATTTGGTTCAATGTTGTCAATTTTACCTTGAAAGGTAGATAGGTCTTTGAGAATTATACATTGAAACATGTCTTGGATTTCCTTGGGTTTAACAACATGATAATCAAATGTCATGGTAATCTGGGTTTTCTTTTTCCTTTTTCCTTTCTACTTAACTTGGTATCAGGATTAGAATTTGATCTTTCTGTGGGGTGGCAATGAGAAAGATTGATTCAGTGGATTTCTTTTGTTTCTTTGAAAATCTAGAAGAGTCCCAAGAATAATTTAAAGATTTGTGCATCTTAATAAAGATGTGGCTGTTTATGTTTTTGTAGAAAGGGCAATGAATTGTTGAAGATGTGATGATGCAGAAGGGGATTGTAGTAAGGGTATGTTAATCGATTCTGTAACACCTTGTTTATTTAATAAATAAATAAACGAATAAAATAAATAATAATGGCCGTAAAACCCCGAGATGTATTTAATATTATTTTAATTTAGATTTAAAGTGATAGTAAGTTGATAGGAGTGGTTGTTATCGGGACTCGAATGTATTAAAATCTGGAAATGGGGGTTAAAATGTAACTTCCGAACCAATTATGAATAGAATTCTGATGCTAGGGGCTATTTGGCAATTTCTTTGGACTTGTGTTGAAAGAAATTTTAGAGTCAAGGGGCTGGAGTGTAAATTTTGGCCTTTTTTTGAAAGGAAATGTGAGGGGAGGGACTGTTATTGTCATTATGGCAAACATTTAGATGGAGCGGGTATTTAAGGGTTCAAACCCTAACCATATCGACCATTTATGCAACCGCCACCTTCAACTTATACCTCCCATCTCCGGCGCCACCTCCCTCTCATTCTCCCCAGCCGCCACCGATGTCTCTTTCGTTTTCCGACCGGATGGAGTCCCGAACGACGCCGCCTGCTGCCTCTGCTGCCGACTAAGGCAACAACCGTGGTCCTAGCATGCGAGAAAGGGAGACCAGGAGGTCAAAGTCGCGACTGCCGCCGCCGGAGGCTGTGAAGATCATGAGGTTGCAATCTCGTTTTCCTTCGGTGTCACCGCTGTTGATGAGGTCACGAATCAACCCCCCACAGCTGCTGTAGCTGTTCCAAATCGCTGATATTCTTCTTCTCTTCTTCTATTTATCCCGTCGCCGCCGCCTTGTGGGTGGAGGAACTCATGGCGTTTCCTGCTGTCACCGGTGAATGGTGGTATGGTTCCAGGCTCGTGTGCGACGTGGGTGCGCTGTGAGGGAAGTTCTGTCGAGAAGGGTCACGGAGAACCACCATGGCAGCCGGCCATGGTGGCTGTCATCGCAATGTCACCGCCGCTGCCACTCTGTAGAAGACCAAGATTCGCCGCCTGCCATCGTGAAATGGTGGCTGAGTTCGAGGACTCGTGAAGCTGAAGTGTTTTTGGGTGTGTTTCCATTATTAGTGTGGTGTTATTTGGCCGGAACTCTCGAGAACAACCACCACCACCACCACCACCACCATCGTGAGGTGGTGGCTGCCACCATGCGCCACCGCTGGCCACCACAAGGTTGCTGTGTGTGTGATTAGTTTGTTTAGTGTGTTTATTTTGGGATTAGAGTTTGTAAAATGTAGTTATAAATTAGAATAATGAAAAAGGAACCCTAACCACCACCGTGAGGTGGTGGCTGCCGCCTCCTGCCTCCGTGTCGGGTGGCGGTGTGCTTGCCTCGTTGAGTTTGATTCGTTTGGGGTGCTTGAAACCCTAATGGGCCCAAAGGAGCCCTAATGGACCCAATGAAGCTTAATGGACCTAAAAGCCCAAGCATGTGACTTATGGGCTTAATGATATTCTAGTGGGCCTAATAGGCCCAATAAAGCCCTAATTGACTTAAAAGCCCAATAAATTGATAAATGGGCTAGTATTTGGGATGGAAACCCTAACTAGGGTTTGGAAAACCCTAATGCAATGAAACCCTAAATTGGGGAATTAATCGGGACACACGAGAATTATTTGATAACTTGAAATATTAAATAATAATCATTGTCAAAAAATTAATCTAAGCAATATTAGACTTAATGGATTAAGTCCTTAGTAGATTAAGTCCTTAATGGGTTAAGTAGGAAACTTAACCCTAATCATCATTTTATGAGAAACCCTAATTTCACTTGGGTTTATTGTTGGGCCTTTCTATTGGGCCTTGATGATTGGGTAATTAATGGGCCATCCAAGATCAAGAAAATGGACTAGAATAATTAATCGGCTTTGCGGTAAGGCCCATATGAGGATGTGGGCCCAATTTGGAAAATTGGGCCATAGATGGGCCTTAATGATTATATAATTTTGGGACATTAAAATTGTCAAGTGTTTGGACTGGACTAATTGGTTGGGCCTCAGGATAAGACCATATAAAGGTTTGGGCCCAATTTGGAAAATTGGGCCATATGTTGGGCTTTAACTCATAGTTGACTTTTGGGCCTTTGGATTGGGCCTTCGGCTTGAATAAAGCTAAGTTAGGGGTAAAGTAGTATTTACCCCCAAGTATGTATTTATGGTTATGTGTTGGAACCCGATTATTAATTGGGTGATGTTTTGATATTGACAGTTCGGGAAGCTGTCATCCATCAGCTAGGATTGTGTCTACGGGACTTCAGCAGTGTGAGGTGAGTTACCTTCCAGTAGGAGTGGGTCTACGGCTACAATGCCGGCCCACTAGTAGGAGTTGTTTGTTAGATGATTGTCTTTGTGATAATTATCTGGTGTGTTGTTATCTGATATGTTTTATGTGCTAGGATGCTATGACATATGTGTTAGTAGTGGTAGGGGTGATATAGCCCCTAGTTACCGGTTGAAAGATACCGAAGGGGTAGATAGTACCCATGCATGCCTAGCAGTATGATCATGATATGTTATTATGTGATAGTGGTAGGGGGTGAAATAGTCCCCGGTTACCGGTTGAAAGACACCGAAGGGGAGGTTAGCTCCCGGTTACCGGTTAAAAGATACCGAAGGGGAGGTTAGCTCCCGGTTACCGGTTGAAAGATACCGAAGGGGAGGTTAGTTCCCGGATACCGGTTGAAAGATACCGAAGGGGTAGTTCGAGCACCCAGATATGCCTGACAATATATTTATGTATGTTATCCTATGTTATTACGTGGTAGTGATAGGGGGAACAGTCCCCGGATACCGTTTGAAATATACCGAAGGGGTAGGCCAGTACCCGGATATGCTTGGAAATATATGTGTTGTATGGTATGTGGTATGATGGGGGAACTCACTAAGCTTCGTGTTTACGGTTTTCAGTTTTGGTTTCAGGTACTTCATTTTCAAGTGAAAGGAGCCGGCGCGATCGCAACGCATCACACTATGTTTTCCGCACATGAGATCTTTGGGATTGCACTCTTATATGGTTTCATGATAACATGTTTTGATTACTGACACTTTGGTTTTGGCATGAGATGTTATTATGGATGTTTTCTTATACTGTTGGTTTTATAATAACCTAAATAAAATGAAATTTTTGGTCTTGAATTTTGGGATGTTACAAGTTGGTATTAGAGCCTTGGTTTGAGGGATTTGGGCACACTCCCGGGTTTGTCTGAACTCAAACTAAGGACTTGGTATGAGAATTTTTCAAAAGTAAAATCATTTTATAAAAAGAGTTTGAAAAGAATTTGAAAAGAGAAAGAACTTTGAAAGAACAAAGTGTGTCATGCGTGCAATCAGCCGAGCTCAAGTAAGTTTTCCCCAAGATACCCATACATGTTATGATATGTTATGATATAATTATGAGAATTGCATGCTAGATTAGGGCTAAGGATCTAGGAGGATGCCTTATATGCCTATTGTATGTGCTTGTAGACTTGCATGCTAGTAC